ATGAATTAGGCCGTGACATCCTGTGCGTGGACTACATGGTCTTCACTCTGCGTCTCATTCACATCTTTGCCATTCACAAACAGATGGGACCAAAGATCATCATTGTTGGCAAGATGGTGAGAAACAATCCCAAACGTTGACATCATACCAACCTTACTTAGTAGGATGTTTTCATTATATTGATGGAAATCTATTTTATTTTTGCTTTTTCAGATGAAGGACATCTTCTTCTTCCTGTTCTTCCTCATGGTGTGGCTCATGGCATACGGAGTAGCCAATCAGGCTTTGCTGTACTCCTACGACCCCAGCTTGGAGCGCATCTTTCGCCGGGTTTTCTACAGGCCGTACTTGCACATCTTCGGACAGATTCCTGTGGAAGAGATGGATGGTAAATGCGTTTGTTTGTGTGTCATGCAGCTGATCAAAAGTATTACAGTTTAAAAACCGGTTTAAGAATGAAGTATGTATCTGAACTTTTGTTCCACATCCATTGCAGCTTTTTAAACTTCACGGTACGAACGTAGTTTTAAACCTTACTTTTATTTTGTTGTCAATCTCAGTGGGCAAGGCCTGGGACATGCCTTGCACATACAACGTGACATTGATTAAGATGGGCGAGGAGCCCTGCAGGACGACGTCTAGCAACTGGCTGGTCGTTATTCTGCTGATTGTTTATCTACTGGTCACCAACATCCTGCTCATCAACCTGCTCATCGCCATGTTCAGGTAAGAAGATGGCTGTCCATCAGTTTGTCTCTGTAGCTCCACAAGCACAACATGGTTTAACTCTGCTCTCCTTCTGTCCACCCAGCCACACCTTCTCTGAAGTGCAGGGTAACAGTGACATCTACTGGAAGTTCCAGCGCTACAACCTGATCGTTCAGTACCACTCCCGTCCTTCCCTGGCTCCTCCGTTCATCATCCTGTCTCACATAAATCTGTTTATCAAGAGGGTAATCCGCAAGGTGCCTTCCATCAAGATCTACCACTTTGGTAGGTATTTCAACTGCAATCTTAAAGGGATAGTTTGGATGTTTTGAGGTAGGGAGGTACTTATCCAGTCCATGTATTACTGTAACTACAGTTTGGAGAAGCAGACCTTATAGGCTCACAAGCAAAGCATTGTCTTCCATCTACTAAAATACACTGATTATAGATAGAAATCCCTTCAAAACATATAGAATATCCTTTCAAGTGAGTCTAATTAATATAAAAAATTGTTTCCCAAATGCACCAACACATTTGACTCCCAGTTGGCTTTTATCAATGTGATGTTTTATTTGAAACTGCCTTTTTCCCCCAATTTAGTCAGTTTCCTCGAATAGTGTCATGTAACAGGACTGTATTATTGTAACTCCCACATCATCTTCAACTTGCAATCAAAAAATCCTTCTCTTTTCTATTAGTATTGCAGTTAAAAGGGAAAGCAGCCAACAGGCTCATGACGTGGGAAACCATTCAGAAGGAGGACTTCCTGACCGCCCAGAACAAGATCCAGAAGAGCAGTGACAGTGAGAGGCTCAAACAGATGTCTGTCAAGTGAGCACACCTCCCTATACCAACACTATGGCAGTGTAATTATTTATGTCATGCTCCATAATACCTAATCAGTAATAACATAATAGTGAATGTGTCCTTTTTCTTTTTAGAGTGGATGGTGTACTTAAACACATGAGTGAAGGCAGAGACTTCGACCACAGGCTGAGGGCTCTGGAGAATGAGGTGAAATGATAGCACCTTTTTAAAAGTATTGACTCTCACTGAGATTATTATTCTGTACCATATGTGTTGTTTTTGATACTTTCACATCATGTCTTGCACTCAGTCAACTTATCCTATACAAAGGTGAAATAAATGTCAGCCAGCTAGATATAGCAGGGCAGGATGATATGCATCCCGACAACTAGAACACCATGTTCTGATATTGATATCACAATATGCATTATTTCATATGTGAGGAAAATCACAATTTTTTTTTAAAGGAATAGTTTGCCAATTTGGAAAATAGGCTTATTTGCTAATTGCTGAGAGTTAGATGACAGTATTTATTCTACTTTTGTTTGTATGTTAAATATGAAGCTACTGCAACTAACTGGGTTTGCTTAGCATTATGAGGGCAGCTAGTGTAAAGTGTAAAAATGCACAGTTTTCTCTTGGGGTTTTATGACCTGGTATGTCTTGTTTTGAACCAATAATTTCCCTGAGTCTCCGTTGGTTGAGGAACTTTTTTATCGTTTTCTGTACAGATTAAAAAAAAGAAGAAGATGGGTGTAAATCTAGTGAGCTTTAGAGGTGCTGGTATCTGGATTTACGTTTTAGAAAGAGCCAGGCTAGCTGTTTCCACTTGCTACCAGTCTTTATGCTAAGCTAACTGGCTGCTTGCGATAGCCTCATATTTAACAGGTTGATATGAGGTTTCCCAAAATGTCAAACTATTACTTTATGTTAAGGTTAAAATGGGACTGCATGATATCAACTAGAACCCTCGTTTTTTTATCATAATTAAGGCGAAATCACACACATGCAAAATGACCAGGAAACTTCAACATGTAGCCTTAGATTACGTCATGGTATTCCCAAATAATAGATCCTCACCTCAGATGTGTACTGCATGTAAACGCACAGATTTTCTCTCTTCTGATCTCTTCTTCTGATCTTTCATCTCAGATGGAGTACTGCTCGAGTGCTCTCAACTGGATCGTGGATACTTTGGCACAAGGCAGCACGTTCAAACTTCCTCGGCCTCCTCCTACAATGAGAGGTACAAAATCACAGCATGCATTTTTCTTCTTAGATTGTTTCCTGTTGGTTTTTGCCTTAAGTCATTCATGTTTAACTTACCGTGTTCTGTTTCACAGAGGCGTTCCCCTCCTCTTCCCACACTGCCTGATCCAGCCTTGGTGATGCCTTCACTTGCTCAGGGTCGGTAAAAGACAAGTGTTTTTACTTTGACTGCTCCCATGCTACCCACTGCCATGTTCATCACTGGACTCACTTCAAGTAGTTTAATTGTTCTGAACTGGATTGTAGCAGCACTTGTTACATTATTCCAATTACAAAGTAAAGTGTATGTATTGATGATGTAGCATGACATATTGTCTGTATTTTGTTTGTCAATGCTATCATGTTTTTATTCCTGGAATACTGTTTCAAAGGTTTTTATATAGGGTTTTACTGCTATATTAAAACTACAATAATGTTTACAGGGCACATTACTGTTTAATACTTTTATGTTCGGGCAAACTTAAATGTTAAATCATGTTTTTGAATTGCAACATTATTTTATTATGTTCAATAAATTGTAAACAATGGTATAAGGAGTCAACTATGCTACTGTTAACGGATTAACCCTTTAGGGGGACATTTTGTGACATCCACGACATCCACTCTCAAGAGCTAGCATAGACAGTTAGCTTAGCACAAATACTTGAAACAAAATGGCAACAGCTACCCTGACTCAAGATACATGTTAATCAGTGTCAGTTACAGACTGAACTATTCCTTAAGCTACACTCTCTGGAGCGATGCGTCAGGTCAAAGGTCAAACATTGAACTACTGGATAATCCCATGAATCACTGAGGGAAATTGTGACTTAAACATAAGAGTGAGGTAGTTTGATATACTGTAGATAGAAAGGGATATGTAAGTGTGAAAGGTGTACGTGGTGCTGAGTTTCAGATTGCCGGAGCTCTATTGAAGGTCACATAGTGGAGCAGGGCTATTGAAGGAGGCTTCACTGTAAATAGCCGGCTGGGCCACCTGTCAATCGCAGCAGCGGGTCGCACTGAGAGAGGCAGTGTCATCACTTTCTGCCCCCCCCCCCCTCCTCATGTGCAGACATGAACCCATGTATGTGAGCATGCGTGTCACGGTTCAGTTTCTGAGTAGGCTACTTTTGATGCTTCCTTTTACACACAATCTGCAACGCAATTAACCCAAACTATCCTTACTGTTTCTTATCTGCATAAGGAAAACCCGTAATAATCATTCTGTTCTTAAAACATAAAGAATTTCTTAGGAATGGCAGTTGCTGCACATGTGCAGATCGCCATGATATCCATTTCTGTCTATTTACATCCATTTCATACATCATCCTGACATGTTCTCTGCTAAGGGACAGGCAAGCAAATATCGACTCGCTGATGAGACTGTGTCTGATAGGTGTTTAACCCCATAAGCCAACATAAAAGGGACTATTACTTACTAATATTACAATCATTTGTGTTTAGACCATAGTTTAAAATAATCTATTTCTGCAATGGAGCTTTGTGCAAATGCAGTCCTGAGTTTCAGCCAGGTTTATTTATAGATTCAATTAAAGAAAGGGAGTGTATGAGTGCTCCTGATTACACCTCCCACCGCTTTAATAGGTAGAGAATAATCAGGGAAAGTCAAAGCTGTTGGAGCGTGTAAATAACATTTGTTGCCTGCATGCGTCTAATTTGTTCAAGATTCAAGGTTTTATTGTGATGTGCACATTAGCTACAGTGTATATATGGCAATGATAAACTTAAGTCCCAGGCTCATCCAGCAGTGCAACATGAATATATATAGGACATAACACAGATAAAATAGTGCAAGAGAATGTTTTGAGATGTGCAAGTAAATACAAATAAAATAGAACTGTAGTATCTTATGGTATATTTTATTAATGTATTCTTTATTGGACTGCTTTTGTTCTGGGGGATTTACAGACAGACTGAAAGTACATTTCAACAACTGAAAAAAATAAATATATATATACTCAAAGTTAAATAAATAACAGTCATATACAAGTGTGTACATATACATGTAAATAAAGATTCTCTCCTGAATACCTGTAGCACTTGAAATGAAGACCTAATCCTTATCCACTTCAATAGGATTATTTAATATTGGTAAAGGATCTTCTCCTTCCCTCTCATTTTCATATGTTCTTTTACCCCTTACCCCCCTGCCTTCTGCGGTACAACCCCCCCTGTCTCCCATAAGCACACACCCACCTCTCTAATACACTGGGTTAAGGGCATCAGGAGCATTCTTCCCACCCATGTGCCCCTGTCACTCATGCACATATGCTACTCCACCACACACCCATTTGTGTTTCCACTGTGTTCCAGGCACAAGGCTGGCACTCTGCTCTGTTGGTCTGTTGAGCTGAACCATATCCTCGCACCACCTGCAACTCTCTCACCTTTCCTGTGGATTTAATATTTTTTAAGTGTTAAAAACTCATTGATTTGTTTACATTTTGTTGGAGGAAACAGAGTCAGGAGACTTGTGGATTTTTTTGTTCAGAAGAAGCTCCAAACTTTTTGAGTTTTTTCCAAAATGGCTCCTGTGAAAGGCTGGATGGTGGGGCTCCTGCTGATCCTCCTCTGCCCGTCTCAGACCCCTCTCTCTGGGGGGGTGAGTGCCCATGAGGTGGGGGAGGCAGGGGAAGGCCTCTACGCCAGATATGTGGAGGCGGTGGTAGCTGAAGAGGGAGAAACTGCTGAGGGTGATGATGGCGCGGGTGATGAAGAGGAACATCTAACGGAGGACGGCGATGAGGAGGAGGAGGAGGAGGAGGAAGAGGAGGAAGAGGAGGAGGAGGAGGAGGAAGAGGAGGAGGAGGAAGAGGAAGAGGCCGAGGAGGAAGAGGCAGAGGAGGAAGAGGGTGGCAGCTGAGGAAGAGGAAGATGAGGAGGAGGAAGAGGAGACTGCTGTTGAGGTGGAGGAGGCAGAGGAGGAGGAAGAGGAGGAAGAGGAGGAAGAGGAGGAGGAGGCAGAGGAGGAGGAAGAGGAGGAAGAGGAGACTGCTGAGGAGGCAGAGGAAGAGGAGGAGGAGGAGGAGGAAGAGGAGGAAGAGGAAGAAGAGATCGCAGAGGAGGCTGCTGATGAGGAGGACGATGACGAAGAGGAGACTGCTGAAGATGAAGCAGAGGAGGAAGAACAGGCTGCTGAGGAGGAGGACGATGATGATGAGGATGATGATGAGGAGGAGGAGGAGGAGGATGTGGAGGCCGCAGCTGAAGATGACGACGAAGAGGATGCAGCAGAGGAGGAGGAGGAGGAGGAGGAGGAGGAGGAGGAGGCCGCAGCTGAAGAGGCAGAGGAAGCCAGCGATGATGATGATGAAGATGATGATGAGGAGGAGTTGGCTGAGGAAGAGGAGGCTGATGAGGATGAGGAGGATGATGAGGAATACGCTGCAACTGAAGTAGAGGAAGATGACGGTATTCCCCATTTTATTTTTTAATACATTTTATAATATATTCATAGATTATCAAAATACCACTAAACGTGTGTATATAGAATATAAAGTATAACACTTCAGAGGTGGAGGAAGTACTTAGATAAGTAGCAACATTACAGTGTAACAATAGTCCATCCTTCACAGTACAGTACTTAAAGGGGACCTATCATGCAAAATGCACTTTTGTACGTCTTTTATACATGAATATGTGTCCCCGGTGTTCCAGGGAACTCACCAAGTGTCAGAAAACACAACCCTCTCTATTTTCCTCCATACCCAAATCTCTAAAAAAGGGGCTGCAACGGATCTGATAAAAACTGATCCAGATTTGAACACTGTCCTGACGTCAGGACAGTGGCGCTACGGCTATTGGGCCAACTCTCCACCTATCAGGGGAATGTGGGGTTGGGCCACGGCCGGCCATTGCCGCTCGAAAGCGCTGGAGACGCTGTAGTACATATGCCAGGCCTGTAAGTGGCGCTGTAGTCTGCCACAAAAGCAGAAGACTTCCCGCGCATATAGTAACCATGGTTACCCTTCTGTTTATTCTCCGCTGTGGCTTTTTTTCTCCCTCTCCGAGGCAAGCGTTTGCTCCCGCTGCTTTAATTCAATGCAATCCCTCCCCGTCGAGGCAAGCACTGTAATTCTCTCCGGTTAGTCCACCAGCAGATGACAAACACCCACCTCTCCGCCTCTTCCAAGGAACGAGGGGACCGTGCGGCAGAGTTTCAGTTTCAGTTTCTTTTGCCGGTCAAGATGTCCGTTAAAGTTTAAATCTTCCGGACAAAATTAGAAAAGTGCCGGTCAAAGGTCTTCTTTGTTATTTAATGAGCTTTAAAACAAATGAATAACGACTCTATATAATAAAACACGGAGGACGGAGATCTTTTTTTCTCCCCCTCTTGACTTGATCAGAGCACGGCTTCCCTCTCCTGCAGAGGGGCGTGGTCTCCCAGAATCAGCCCCGTAGACAGCAAACAGCACATAGAGCGAAATGAGGCATGGCTAAAATGCATGATCTGTTTGGTATTTTGAAAACAGAAATGTATAAATATACCTTATATAGGTATGGCCCTACAATATATCATTTAAATATAGCATGATAGGTCCACTTTAAGTAAATGTACTTCCTGGACCCTTTAATGCCTCCTAACTCCACAGTGCCTTTGACATTGTTAGTCTTTCTGCAGTCACCGTAGGAACGCTGTCACATAACGGCCCTAAAATAGACTCGCTTATCGGTGAAGTAGCTGGTACCCAGCAGGGTCCAAACCTTTCATGCCTTTTGTTGAACCACTGTGTCTATTTTAAGATGCAAAAATAATTACTGGTGTAGTGCGTACGTTTAAAAAAACTAAGAAAAAGGACAGTCTCAAGATCTTTCGGTGTTCATGCTTTAATATTTACTACGCAACAACAAAATATGTATTCCCAACTCCAACCTGCATCAGCATTACTAATCAGTAATGGGAACAATTTTCCTTACTTGAGTTATAAGTACTTTGTCATTTCATGATCATTTTTCTAAATGAATCAATTTACAATTTGGCCTTAAAAATGTCATAAAATAGTAAAACGTGTATTTAATTCAAGGTGATGTATAATTGTTGTTATTCTTTTGTCAGTCCAATACCAAAGACAATCAGTTAACATAATATGAAACAGAGAAAAGCAGGACATCGTATCTTAAAGGCTGAAAGATGACAAACTTTCTGCCATTTTTAAAAGAAAAATATTTGTAAAGATGAATCCATTATCAAAAAAAGTTGTTGACATTTTTCTGTCGATTGACTAAAGCATTTGGGTATTAATAGATAGCAGCTTTACAAAATGCTCTTAAACAAAAGACTTATCCTCATGAATGAGCTTTTATAATGATTCAATATCATCTGTATGGAAACAAGACATATCCACAACCTGATGCTCATGATCGCTAAACGATACTTGAAGTTTTTTTGTTTGTTTTTCGTTCAGAAACACATAACATAAACACCAATCTTGATGCAGGTCCCCTACATATGGTACATAATGAGCTGTGACCAAGATACACAAATACACACCAAGCAGGATTTAGCAATGTAAGAAGAGTCTGCAGCCATGCTAGCAGTTCTGTGCGTCTACTCCAGCCAAATGCAAATGTGCTGTCAGCGTTAATACTTGCATGCTCATGTTTAGAACATATGGTGTTTGTAATGTACGCGGTGTCAGTTGAGCGCCCAAGCATGCTATTATTAACCAAAGAGCACTCCACACAAATCAGCATACTGCCAAGGCCCATAGGAATGCCACTAGTTTTGTAGGTACTTGGTCATAAATCAAAGTGTTGGACTAACTTAAATATTAACCTCATGATGATTCAACAGTACAAGATAAGTCAAGAGATCAAAGTTTTTACAGTTTCTTCTCTAGGATCACACATTTATTTTTCTAAATCTCAAATTGCAACCTCATGGTGGTGCTGGATGAAAACTAAAGGGATCACCAAAGTCGGTAGAATTCATCCTCTGGGGATAATGAATACCTGAATGAACTCTCTCTGTAATGCAAGCTACTTATGCAGTCTTTATTAGATTTATCTCCTGGATTACCTTAGTGTTTGACCTATCACAAACAAGTTTCTTATCAATTTCAATGGGAAAGTTTGGGGTAGATTCAGGGGTCAAACATACGAAGGAGGCCGATACTAGTGTTGTGTGTGAAACAAAAAACAACCCTGACTTGTTTAAACTTGGAAAGTTAACTACCACACATAGCTAACATATGTAACATGCTTATATTAACCAACAATAATGGGTTTCTAAACACAACCACATGTTTTAAACTGATCCAAATGTCATAGAGACCTTGAAACGATATTGGCAGTGCAGTGTTGTTCTATGGGAAAGGGTTGACTTATTGGCCGAGATACACACAGCAAAAGCCTATTCAATATTAAGCTAATATGTATTGGCCCAGCTAATTTGTTGTGACTCTGTTAACTCTATGCAGATGAAGTCATTGACGCAACAAATGAAACGATTGAGGAGCCCGCCACCGTCCTGCTGCAGTACCGCTCCGGCTCTCTGTGCAGTGTGTGCACCATCTGTGAGGTAAGAGACTTCAATGGATCTTATGACGAAATAACTTCTAGAGAAATAGTAACAGATAATAACTGTACGTTGTGTGTCTTCCTTCCTCTTTCAGCACTGCGCTACAGACTGTGAAAAATGCCCGTGTGAAGATGACGATGAGTCGGATCACTGTGAGCAGTGCCAAGTAAGTCTTCACTGTGCAGTGTGCAAAACACTCTCAATAACACACATTAAAGGCAACAATTGGGATCAACTTCATTTTTTTTGTTCCAGGATTGCTCATCTTGCTACATCTGCCCCTTACTGTGCAACACAATCTGCTCACCAGGTAAACACTGAGAAATACTCATATTATGCTTGTATAGTTCAATCTTTAAGCAACTTCTTAAATGTTGCATGTGTTGGATTGTTTCAGGTGGCCTTGTTGATGAGCTTACTGGGACTCTCTTTCAGTAAGACTTCACACAACACATTTACATGTATTGTGCATATACTATGTATATTGAGTTTACTCATGCTATGATCTTGTTTTGCAGGAGCGTTCCTCTCTACTCTGAGCAACCTGCAGGCTGCTCCCTCTAACGCCACCTTGTGGTAAAGTGAAGTACTGCGCCCAGGACTAGAGCTGTCCGGCTGTGCAAACCTCTCCAGCAACATGAGAGCTGACAGAAAAACAGAAACACATTAAGGTTTTAACTCTTGTTTAGATTTTTAAATTAACTAGTCATTTGGGCTGCAAATAAGAGTCTTTTTTCCTTTTATTTATTTAATGAATTGCCTAATGTAATAATTAATTGCTAAGGCTATTATATCATTTGTTGAGAATCTTATTTTGTAGGAACCTTTTTGTAAAACAGTTTTAGTTGAGCAACAATGTGAATACGTTTATTTTAGTGGATGACATCTGTATGAATGCTCCAGAAAGATGACAACTTTGAAAGATGAGTCCATTTATTGTTACAGTATAATTTCATATACGTGTTGATACAAAAACATTTAATTCAATTTAACCAATTCTTATGTGATAATTAATGTCTCTTAACTGTTCAATTTGGTTCCGACATTTACACCACAAGCACAGTTCATATTACATTTAGCTGTTTTTGCTATGTTTACTTTTGTTTTTTTATTTCACATTGGTTATTTATAGTTTTTTTTTTTTTTTAGCATATACTCATGACTATTCAAACTGCAGTTAGTGCCTAATTGAAACAATGTTAATAAGGCCTCACAGTTTTAATTCACAACTGTGCATAAATTAAAGTTTTTCCACCTAACTTATGGGAGTAAATTGGGTTTAGAAGACGACTTTTGGTCGATAGTTTGAATAGATTTTATTATAGTATACTCTATAGAAGTAAAAGGCAAAATCGATGACTGTTTCCTAAATAAATTACTTCTATTCACCCTTTAACCTTTTCATCCTTCTTTTAAAAATAATCTGACAGGCATGGTCTTTGTTATGTTATATTCGTAGAGGGATTTCCACACATGTTCACACACACACACACGAGATGTATGATCACCACAACATGGTAGAAAATAATAAAGAAGAATTGCTCAGCCAATCCCACGCTGATGAGTGAATGAGCTCCAGCTGCTGCTCAGGTGAAGTTAAGTGAAAAGTGAGTGGGCTCTTCAAATCAGCCATGAGCCATGTGTCAAGGGAAAACAAAGTTGAGTGTATCGTTGAATCAACATAGACCGAGTCAGGGCTTTGTGTCCGGTAAGTATGAACCTGTTGATAACTAAATATTGAAGAACGTTCATCTTTTTTTAAGGCTGTGATGCCTCTCATTATTAACATGACCTGTTGAAATAGTTGAAATGAATAACCTACCACCAAAGGGGGTTTCTCTCCCACACACGATTCAATAAAGTCAGACTGAAGCACTCCTTTGTGCATCAGTCAATCCTCACCGTAAATACAGAGCTGAATCCCAGATCAAATGCACGCTGAAGGCTCTTTGAGCAGCTTTTCTCTCACTGATTGTGCTGTTATGTTAAATGTTTGTTGTTTGTGTTTCATGTATTTGTGTCTGGATATTTGTCTGTTGATGTTGGACATGGAGCTGCTGTGACGCAAGTCAAATTTCAGACCTGATCTGACAAATAAAGTAGTATCGTATCGTATCGTATCGTATCGTATCGTATCGTATCGTATCGTATCGTATCGTATCGTATCGTATCGTATCGTATCGTATCGTATCGTATCGTATCGTATCGTATCGTATCGTACTCCCCCCGCTGCCCGAAACGCCTCCATTGGACCCCTTTCCTTAACATAATGACATCACTAACACCCACACTTCTATTGGCTAGCACTCCAACCCTTTTTATGTGTAAGGCTAAAGGGCGGGACATTTCTAAGCTGTTGACTAATCACAACAGTATGAGAACAATTAAGAGCTTAATGAACATTAAAGCAGACAGTGAGACATGTCACAATAAAGGCACAAAATACAAAAATGAACCTGAAAATGTGCGTAATAGGGCCTCTAAATCGAAGGAGATCTCTGACTTTATTGACTTGATTTTGACTTTTCTTCGCATAGAATATCTCTTGTGAGTCTGCCCCTTCATTTATTGATTTATAAACTCATCTCCAATCATACTTTCGTACCCATGTGTCAATTCATCGACATTTTGTCTGACAACTTGTCGTTGCTGTTTTGGAAAAGGCAGGGTGTGTTTTCTTTTTAGAGAAGTATAAATACACGTAGGGCTCTGCGTAATGAGGTGTGAGGAGTGGATGTGAAAGAAACCTGTTGCGTAGGTTCATTTAAAGAGAGGTGTGTGTGTGTGTGTGTGTGTGTGTGTGTGTGTGGGCATAAACACAGGAATAATTACAATAAACATTACCAGGTAAAAAGACACCTTGGTTTCATGGTTTGGAAAACAATGGTTGTCTTAAGTGTCAATGTTTCGTGCTCAGCGTGCATCTGTCAATAAAAGCTACTGTGTAGTCAATACAAATTTAATATGAAGTGTTTGATAATTTTGGAGATGCATTCACTTTCTGGCAGAGAGTAAGATAAGAACTTTTTATTTGAATCTACATTGGAATTTCATTAACCTGTTCCTTTCAATCAATCACACAATGCACTTATTGTTCATAGCTTTTATTAGCTTCTCTTTTGATGATAGATAATTGCACTAAACACATCCAAACATGAACTTAACCAAACATGTGGTAATGTCATTCCTGGCGTGGTTTGTCGGATTACAAAATTGTGGTTATACATTTGGCCGTGGCCCAGCACAGTACAGCATCACATTACTGCGGTTTAAAGTGAACATTCCTACAATTGTTTGTGTAGGCCTAAAGTCTGTCTTAATCCAACATATACAGAGGGCTTATTTTACTTAAGGTGTGAGTTTCAGGACAACATAATAATTAAAAGCTTATAGTCTGCTGTGTCCTTTGCATAGTAAAGTGGCATGTTTATCCTTTATCTGGCTTCTGTACGTTAATATTTTATTGTTGCTTGCCGCCTCTATTTAAGGGATTAGAAATCAAAACGGTTCCTTTAACAGGAATCAAATGGATTATTTGAAGTTCATGCTGCATTACAGGGTCCAAGGTTATGATAATGAATTTACTGATTAAAAGTTATGCTTTGAATTAAACTAGGCCTTTGTTTTGTTGCCTAGATTAAGGTTGAATTAGCGTCAACTTTATATTATTACCATTGTGGTGCAGGAGCAGGGTCATTCAGGTTTAACCTTGCTGAGTACATCCCCCGCATTAACCACCTCATGGTACACCTGTATTGTGAGTGCAGTGTCCTTAAAACAAACCTGTACTCATGTTACGTGTCTCCCCTATACTGGTTTAGTGTTACGCAGCCCTCCCATTGCATTGTCTGCAACTCCTATAGGACGCTCTCATCTTCTCCTCACTGAAGAGCTTGTTTGGAAAAGGACACACGTTTTTATTGTGACCCCTCAATCGAACTATCTGATTTAATCCTTGGGGACTTCAGGCTTGGACAGCAAGGTTAGAGGATTTGTCAAATTTTAAACTATTACATTTTCAGCATGAATTCAGGATTTATTCTTTGATTCCACATTATATAAAAAGATGACGTTTCCAGTTGGCATCACAAACTCTTGATGCCTGCCTTTGGGATGCAGTGGGAACACTTGAGTTTATACCGTGTCTTAGTTCATTTAAATTGGATTTAATGGGACTCTTTGAGTAGGACTTGCTTCAACACATTCAACATGCTTTCAGTAATGTATGTTGTATGTTGATGTTTCAATTTCCAGCTGCTGCAAAAACGCAGAATTTATATATTTTGATACATTTAGCATACGGTAGGGCTTCATCATAGCTAGACATCACTGAGGTTAGTACAGACATAGATTTGTCTCAAAACATGTTTACTTCATGCAGTTAATAGACATTGTGAAATGGCTATAAAACCCATGCCGACCTTGTGGTTGATAACCAGTTACCTTTCCTCCTGAAGATGCATCTGTCCGCCCTTCTGCTGTGCCTGAGTTTGGGGGCTTTGGTAAAATGTGGTGAGTAAAAAGCTTACATTTCTACTAAATGTAAATATTTCTGTTTAAGAGCTTTGTCCATTTGTACTTCATGTGGTATCATCTTTAATTTGTGAGGATTATAGGGCAGGATGCAATTTAATTTAGATGTGAAGGGTCTAAGCGGAGAGTTGGAAGCATATGTTCAGCAACCTAACATGCATCCAAGGTTGTGAAAAAAAGAGCATTATCTTAAGCTGTCTATCATACTGCATGACCTACGCAAGTTGTCTTGGCCATGGTTTTTAGACAGTGTTGGGAAAACGTGGATCCTTCCGATCCGGAATCTCCATGTATTTTATTTAAAAAAAAATGGTTACCCTTTTTTTCTTGTTGGACTTAAAATGTATAGTAACTGTAAAATATACATTTATGCCTTCAGATGGAGAAGTTAAGATTCTCATTAAAAGGATCTCTGAAATCCTTCCGTACTACCTGGGACCCACTATTAGGCCTTATCAAGGAACTCCCTATCACTTCTGACGCTGAGTCGCAGGTAGCTCTCTGAAAGGGAATAAATTAAATAAAAGTGACCATTCATATTACTGCTCTTCCGCCATGATCCTTTGTCTTTTGCCCTAGACTACTCATCTATATTTCCTTTTCGCTCTTAATGAAACCCTTTTTCCTCACCAAGACGACAATGTTTACTATTATTTTCTTCCCTTACACCAGCAGACTGTTTTCGCTCTCGACTTTATTTATTATTTTTATTTTATTTATTTATTTTTTATTTTTTTTATTTTGTAGTAGTATTATTATTTATGTTTTACTTATTATTGTATCTGACTTATTCAGTTATTTTACTATTTGGGGCCATCCATACCTGTGGGTATTTAAAAAAAACAAAAAAAAAAGACTGTAAACAAGGACTCTACGAACCCTGAAGTGAATGCAATTTCAAGGAGGTCCTTTGTAATGATCCCCATTGTAATTGTAACATCTGTACTGTTTAGTATTACTGCTCTCACTTCTTGTCATTTGCTGGATTATGACTTGTTTGCAATAAAAAGATTTGTAAAAAAAAAATATATATACATTTACCCTCTGAAGCGTTAAGTGTAAATAAGCATAAAATAGCATAAAAGGATGCATGAAGGTCTGGAGTTGGGAATTATTATTATTATTATGATCATTAAGTATAATTACGTAATGATTATTTAAAAGTTTTCTGAACCTGCTCTTTTGATTGATTTATTGATTTTGATTGATTTTAAAGGGCAAGCATACATCCAGAAGTATTACATGTTTAGAAGAGGGCTATTTACGGTGGCCCTGAAGTGCAAGACACCACAGCATTTCAGAAAACACAACAGCATTCAACAAGACACCACAGCATTTCAGAAAACGCCTCAGCATTTCAGAAAACGCCTCAGCATTTCAGAAAACGCCTCAGCATTTCAGCCTCAGCATTTCAGAAAACGCCTCAGCATTTCAGAAAACGCCTCAGCATTTCAGAAAACGCCTCAGCATTTCAGAAAACGCCGCAGCATTTCACAAAACACAACAGCATTTCACAAAACACAAAACACCCCTTCAACATCCACCCACCCCTCCAACAGCCTCTTCAGCCTCCTGCCTTCAGGAAGAAGGTTCCTCAGCCTCAGCTCGCGCACCTCCAGGCTGGGCAACAGCTTCCTCCACCAGGCGGTCAGGATGCTGAACTCTCTCTCCCCCCCTCTATCCTATGGGAGATACCAACTACAACAAAATGAACATATTTGACCGTGATTTAAAGGTGGGGTAGGTAAGTTTGAGAAACCGGCTCGAGATACACTTTTTGTTATATTCCATGGAATGCTCTTAACATCCCGATAGCAATGAATATCTTAAGTGCTTTGACAAAAAATCCATTAAAAAATGTCATCTGTGGAAGCCGTAATACTGTAAAAAGCACGACCAATCATTTTAGCCGGCCCGGCTAAAATAACTGGATGGCCTACCTGCCTGTCAGCCTTCCATCTGTGCACAAACTTATCTCGTGCCCTCATTGGTCATGTGCGCGTTCGTGTGTGTTGGAGGAGG